GTACTGATTTGTTTACACGGGGCGCCATTCCTATCCGTGATGGACGATCGAGCGTTGAATGGATCCATCGTACCGAGGGCCTCGTCCAGATCCAGAGCCGTGCCAGACACGGTCCCCAGGCTGTGGTGCAACACAGACATCTGAAGCCTCTCTCTCTCTATCTTAACAATGCATTTTCATAGGCTTCTAGCAGAAGCTTGGCTCCATTCTCCGAGTACTTTTTTGTTTGTTATATGCAATTGCTTTCCCTTGCAAATGTGTACATGTATAAAGCCCTTTCTCAATCCATTGTTGGATGAAAGCCCTCCCCCATGCCGTGCAGGTCCTGCGGGTTATTTGGGCATACTTCACCACGCTCGTCGGTGAGGGTTGCTGAAGGAAGGTGGGGGCGGAGGGCGTAGACGTGGTAGTATAGTACAATGGGAACTATGATAAAATTATCTTCTTGGTTCTTTCGGTAAAGTCACGTGACTTTACCGAAAGAATCAAGAAGATAAATCCCTGCAGTCACGAAAGCTTTAAATCGAAATGGTATAATTAGTTGTCTGCACTGCCCACTTTTGCCCATCACGTAGTTCCACAGCCTATAACATATGTTGTGCATGGCAATCGCCCATCCAAGCACTATCCAGGTTCAGTCCTGCTTAGTTTCAGAGATATGATTAGATAGGGCATTTTCCGGATTTTCGGTCATAGCCAATTGGTGCCTAGGCAGGCATGTGTTGGCTCTGTTTATTTGTGTAGTGAAATGTTATGTATTCTCCAAAAAATCATTAATAGTAACCATATAGGGGCTTCAACCACTTCCTATCTCGATCGCTTTAACATCACACTCCATGGGCGGTAACTTCTTCGAATTGACATCGGTCATTTGTTCCGTCACAATCATCTTAAATGCATTCATCGTCATTATCGGGCCATATTCTATATCCACCCGCTGAATGAAGGCCTCCGCAAGCCGCCACTCATCAGCCGCGGACTCGGGATGCCACAATCCATCTCACACGAATTCATTTCATCGCTCCCACCTCGCGAGCAGTCATCCTCTGAGATGTGTCCACGACTTTGGCTGCCACTCGTGACGTCAGTCTCAATGAGCTACCATCATCCCTTCTCAGCAACGTTGTGCTGCCCAAGGCCACTTAATTTCATTACCCGTACGTATTACGTTCTCAATGTTTCCCCTTTTTGTAAAGAAATAATAATCAAGTTAGTTCGTGTTTCCGACGTCATATTTAACGACAAAAGATAGCGCAAGCCAAATGGAACCACCTGTTCGAAGGCATCGATCGTGATTGTCCTCGTCTGCTTCGAATACACAAAAAAGTTCCTAACAAAGAAAATGTTCTTTGCGATATATTTATCACCGCATACATTATTAAAAAAGTTTAATGCCTTTTAAAATATATTAGTATCAGATTAATATGTTTGGGTATTTGTATAAATAGTTACTAATTTTCCTCGCTGCAATAAATTAACTGCTTTAATATACTCGTATGAATATTTTACCCTTTTTTAATCAGCTTTACATTTGCAGCTTTAATATTTTAATGGCAATAATGTCTACATGCCTGCTGACATGTCACATTTTCCCGAATTTTTTTGCATTTCATTACCTGAGCCGTGCTGCTTTGCATGCACGCAGGAAAATCTGGCCCCAGTGCTGCGCCGTTTGCCAAGGACTCGTTTGTTTACGCGTAGGGATGACATCGCTGCCCGTTTATCAAAAGTGACAGCAGCCACCTGCCTGTACTTGGCTCCTATGTACCCCTAAAATTACTGTACGGTGTATTTACAGCAGTGCAGCTCGTCGACCGGCAGGTCGCGTGCAGTGGAGTAAAGACGTCTGGCCAGCGAAGAAGAGTAGGCCAAATATTCGAAACCCAGTGGTCCTTAACCTGGGGTGCACGCACACCCTGGGGGTGCCAGATGCCCTTTCTGGGATGCGAGACATGCCAGATTTTTTTTTAAGGTAAATCATCGAAAACAAAAATTAAGCACGGGCACGTAAGTACAACGTCGTTGTTTCATCAAACCTATGTATGTATTAACATTAACATTTTTTTACAATTGAGAAACTAAGGGGTGCATGCTACGGTAAAGGTTAAGAACCACTGCTCTAAACTATCTACTTTTTTATTTTTACCAGGTAATGCTCAATGAGCTAAATAACTCAACAACGTGCCTTATCACGTGGACATGTATAGCAGTCAAATACTCTGAACGCATGTTGATTCTAAATGTGGAGGGAATACCGGAGGACCCGGATAAAAATGCACACAACCAAGGGGAAAACATGCAAACTCCAAATATACCGGCGTCGTGGTCGGGATCGAACCCACGACCTCCTGCATACCAGGCGAGGTAAGTAACATCTCCACCGTGGTGCCCACTCTCGAGGAAGCTCCCGGTGCTTCTTCAATCGTAGGCACTTCTTCAGGTTCAAGTTCATTTATTAGGTATAGCCCTGTGAGCCATTCGGCTCTTGAATCGGGTGCAACCGCAACAAACAAAAAACAAAAACATGAGCAAGAAAACATCTTAAAGTGACTATGTGCAAACAGAAAATCCAAGAAAAGACAGAAAAATATTGCAGAAAAAGCACCGTACACCAACATTGTGTGCACAAATCCCAGTGGGATGCAAGTCAAACAACAACAACCACAAGACAACTTAGATTAAGGCCATCAGTCTAACTCTGTACTACAACAAACAAACATGGGCAAACCGAAAAACTTTTCGAAAATCACCAAAATAAAGCCATAAAAGCAATGAACGATGTAAACAACATGTATTAACAAACTCTGCAGCCATAGCTGGCTGCATGAGTCACTCCACAACAGCAGGAGCATCAGTCGGAGTGTCAACATTTTTCAATGCACCTTTAAGATCAGCACACTAAATCAAAACACAGATCATACTCTGCCAGCAGTGACATGATTAGGCAATTGCAGGGCTGCACCTTTACCTTACAACAGTGCCATGCTCAGCCGTGGTAATGTCCATACTGTACATGCTGTGCATTAGTTGTGGTTTGGCTGCGAGATGGCGAGAAGGTGGCAATGCAGCAATGGATTCTCGAATCTATTAGCGTGGATCTTTGGGTGTTATGTCTCATCATTTGGGTATTTTCCAGATATTCCATCGCAGTTTTCTCTCACAATTCCGCACAACAAAAATCGGCCAAGCATCCCAGTGCAATCATTGAGACTCACTGAGGTTTTCTTCAATCAAGAACTTTATATATACAATACATATTTAACTTTGGAGTGTAGCCAATTAAAATTGCAGATGCAATCGATGATTTTGTCATGAAATCATGGTCCTTTGTAATATTAACAGATAGCAGGAGTCACTTGAATTTTGAGGTGACCAAAAGCCTACGTATTGCTTGAACGAGTAAACAGTACATTTATCGTCTGTCCATCCATCCGAGGACACTTCAAATGTTCAAATGGACTACAAAAATCCCTATATCATTTGCTCCAATACTGACCAATCAGCCCACTAAATACAATTCCCAGAACTGACGTTTAAACAAATTTTTGTCAACAAATGATTTAGAGAAAGCATTCTTACATGAAAAGTGTAACGTTATGCTGCAAGAGCAATGCACTTAGTGTACAACAAAGTAACATGTGCATCGGATTATATGTCCATTATGTTTCCATGTGCACGTGCCTTTGTAGTCAAATTCCATTAAAGTAAATTTAGAACCCCTTAATCGACTGGTTTTCCAACTTGTTTCTTCACACGACTGTACATGGTATACTGCCGTGGGATAATAGTTTGAATGTGATGGTTGTATTTTCTGACTCAGTTACACTGCATTAAAAAAACATTCTCATATTTTCTACAAAACATATAGGATTCTGCACATTATTAGGTATAACAATATGTACAAAATTCAGTAATACATGCATGTTTGCTCTGATTATGTTATGGTTCTATGCGTAGTTAAGTAGATTAAAATGAAAGGTTTTTTTATGTAAGAGTGGTGCACGTTTTGACGTTTCAAGCAACTGTCCTTGTGCAGGAAAAGCCATAGTTAAGGGCAAATGTGAGTTTCAAGCATACATCTTAAGCAGACACAGAGTAAACAATGTACTATATCCTCGCTACATCTCTTTTTTGTAATGCTTGGAATCGCAACCATCAATGAATACGTAAAAATTAGTCATCGTATTGACTGTTACGTGGCCTTTCGCAGAACACGTCATGGTTTGAAAGCATACATATCAACCCATTATCAGTGCCCCTACCTTATTAAAGACCAATTCAGACCTCATTGGTCACCCCGTGCCCTTATAAATCTCAACGTTCATCCTACAAAAGTCCCATCACAATGGAGAAACACAAATATACGAAAAAATGTCGTTGTCTGCCGGATGGACCTGGAAACTAAATTTCCCTGTACAAGAATACGGGGTAAAGCTGTACGGGTTGACACGGTATGTGAAAGGGACGACTGCCAATGGCCGAGACTGCTAATGGAATGGCGACTAAAGGAGAGAACGACCAAAAGGACAACTACTGCAGAGATGGAGCGACGAGATTACATTATAATAGTTCATTAGCAGGTCCAAAACGGGACTGTGGCATTGCATCACCCTGAAGGCTGGCGGGAGTGCACGGATGCCTTAACCCAGCAGTGGATAGACCATGGCCGATGATGAGAACAAATGCACTCGGGGAAGTGAAAATCCGAAGATTCACAATAAAAGTTTTTATTCATCCAAGTGGATGTATCACATCCGCTTCTAACACTAAGCACAGCGACATTGCGAACACGTGTGTCAGTAGGGGGCGGGGCGTCGGGGCGAAACCACATACCCCCCTCCCCCACCTGCGGGGCACTGCAGCCAAACGCGCGCTGATTGGCTTCCGCTCTTCGCACACACTGTGGGTCTCCACCCGAGTGGCCAATGGGAGAAGGCGTTGCTGCTCCCGCGCTTTTTTGCGAGCGCGCGCGTTTGTTTACACCCCCCCCGCCCCCGCCTCTCCATCCCCAGTTGCCGCAGAGCTGACGACGAGGCCTGAACCTCGGTGGCGGTGCCGCTCTTTCTTCGTCTCTCCTTCTTTCTTTCTCGTCCTTTCCCCTCGCTGTCACCTCGTGGGAGGCGGGTAGATAGAGAGAGAGAGTCGAGTGCGGCTGAGGAGACGGGCGGGTAGAGAGAGTGAGAGATCTTCACCGTCGTCGTGAGGCGAGGCCCCGCAGATATTTACCTCGTAAAAGTATAAATCTTTTGCGTAAAGCACCACTGTCCGCACATTATAACTACTGCGCCTATGTAATTTTCATTGTGTATTGTTGATAAATACTTCCTACGATCCTGCACGCGTTCTGTCCGTAATGCGTGACGCTGGGCCGACTCGTGTTTGCATGCGGCGAGGGGTTCTGCTTTCCCTGTAAAACTTAAACAATGTGATACATTAAATAAACGAGTTAATGATAGTTGTTAATACGTGTTAAAACGTTGCCAAAGAAATGAAACTTGCGGAATACAAAGAGATAGTTGCGTTCGTTGAGCCACTGCGACCGGTACGGCGATGTATCCAAGCGTTAATAGAGAAATTCCCAAGGTAAGATGGCACAAAACAAATGATAATTTATCACTTTTATGTTGATATTGAAACTATTTCGTTGGTGTACAACTGCAGTTACGCAGCACAATGCAATATTCAATGTTGCGGAGTATGATGTTGGATTTAGAGGCAGTATCAACACAAATGTTGTATTGCGTTTGCATTCATCCAGCAGTGGCTTGAGCAGGGATGGAAATGAAGTTTCTAGCGATTACCTGGATCATTGTTTTTCTCCTATTCCACTTTAAAGTAATCTAAGTAAGCAACGTGGTGAACGGCAGGGGGCAGTGCAGCAGTCATTTGTTGTGCTGGGCTGCTATGTGCCCTCTGCCTTCACCAAACGACAGTGACAAGCGTGGTGAAGTATGGTCAAATACACCATTGGAACCTCCTTTGCCAGTAGCAAAATATGATTATTGTTTTTTTACCCTTTTATCTGGCAACAAAACTGACACCTTTTGGTCAAATGGTCAAATAACCAACACCACCCGCACGTTCGTGGATGAAACCCCTCACCCAACAGGGGACTGCCAAAAACAAGGCATTACACGTGCAAGCGCGGAAACGCTTGGTGTTTATAAGTGACTTTTCTTTTTTATTATATGCAGATAGCAGCGTCAGTAAACAAACTTGGTAATTTTGTAAAGTCACAACACTGTTGACCTTTTGAAACACTCTTCATCACAGCAGTTCACAACCTCTACAGTACATACAACATGTTTAAATAGTGGAAAACTAATTTTGATTTAAAGTCTTCGTGACTGCAGGGATTCATATGCTTGGTTCTTTCGGTAAAGTCACGTAGAAGGGAAATAATAAAAATATTAATACAATTCTCACGACATTTCGACTGCAACACAAGCAATCGTCACCAGGTGTGAAATCCACAGCAAAAATATAGATACTTGGTGGTGTGGTCCCTGGCTGAAACGTGCTTGAGAGGGGAAAAATACTTTAAAGTTCTGGTCAAACAAGTTATATAGTACTCAAGTGACACCATTAACAGCACTTACATTTCAATGTCTATAGAAGCACTTCTCTAGTTATGACTGCGGGGTTAACCACGACTTAAAATGATTCATTCACAAGTACATTAAATATGAAATTCACAGCCCGAGGAGTCGCACTGTTAAGTACTCAACTACAAGATAAGAGTTACACTGAAACGCCTCTTGGTGGATTTGATATGGGGGGATCGATCCCGTTATCCCTGTTTATCTGCAACAAAAATATTACCATTATGCTATCCACGCGATTGTGGAATAAACACGCACAATTGGATTAATTTGCCACCACTTCCGGGTCACTTATCCGTGTGAAGGCTGGGGTAATATGAGGTTAGTGCTTCTGGCAGACCCCTGGGTGATTTATCCGCGCAAAGACTCCGATAATAGGATGGGCTAGCTGAGTCTTCTGGGGCACTTTCAGCTGGGCACGCTTATATAATAGGATGATTTTAGCGGATATATTCAGGGACATGGATAAATGGAGTATCGGATAATAGGTGTATGAATAAGAGGAATTCCATAGGCTTTTTTTGTTTAATTAGAAAATGAAATATTAGAATTACGTTTATAATATAATTTGAAAACAATATTTTTATAGTTCCATATTTACATACAGTAGAGAGTTCCAAAGGTTAGAGCCATACAATTTTGCTTAACGCGAGATAAACCGTTCAAGCATGTTGAATAACCAATATGAGCTAAATTATATCTTAAACATTTGCATATTAACGGTATATGTTTTTTTTTTACTGGTGTAAAAGGGCCATAGTTGCTTTGGTATTGTGGTCGGAGGGACAACGCCCTTGGAATACTGGGATCAGGCTGGCAGTGAAGGAGGACCCTGAGGCCACCAAGGTCACCGTAAATTACCTGCAGTCTGTGCTGGGGCCTGAACTCTTGTGGAAAGGGGTGCAGGGCCCCAGCCATCTGCCCTGAGTCAACCTGTCTTATTAAAGGGATGTTTTCAAGTGACATTTATTTACCCCTGATCAAAACACAGAGCGGTCCTACACCCAACTTGCATGCGATATATATAAATAAAACATTTGCATAGTATTTTGAAATAGGCCAAGCAACAACAGAATATTTGCAAGCTGACATAAATGTGTTGGGGAGCATGTTGGGTTTTTTTATATTCAAGTGACTGTAATGTGTCTCTTGGGAAGAGCAGTGGCCAGGATGAACACAGCCTAGGCTGTTAGAGCTGGGTCTGTTGCTCTGCCATGCACTTGATATGCCTACACGGCGCCTCCCTTGGCTACACGCAGAAACCTTTTGCTTGCTTGCTCACCACCACTCATTCTCTCTTGAGGTCTCATCGCCAGCTGTACTCGGCGCCAATTATTCTGGAGAAAACGAGAGGTGCAAGCTCTCTGTGGGGATTGTGTGCCGTGAGCGAATACCGCCCCCAATGAATACTGCCAACAACAATAGGACATGGCTTTTTCTGTCGTGGGAGAACAGCCGTTACGGCATCTAGAGAATCCTGGAAAGGACATACAATCTAATGAGCATCGTGGACGTTGAGTGGTGGCAGGAAACATTATATATGTTGTTTTCAAGCGTATATATTAAAAAATTGATGTGAAATGACTGTAGTCAAAACGTAATCATATTTAATTTAATGAAATTAATGTGCAGTAATTTCATTATTTTTAACAATACGTTCCAATCTATCTTGAATCTAGACTTGAGTCAATATAACAAAAAAATATTAACATTGCTTATTTGCCGTATTGCATATTTCTAATTAAACTTGATGGCAATGTTCAGAAAAGGAAGCAAGTATTTACTGCATAATGGCATTAGATTGGATGGACGATTTGGGTAAAATTAGTAAACCTTTAAATACTTAAAAATCAAGAAAACTGGCACAATATATGAGAATACCATATTTTAAATGCAGAACATGTTGTAATAAGGTATTTCCAGCAAAACCATTATTGCTGAATCTGCCCTTTGTGTTTTCTTGCAGCCATGCCCAGGCCACGCTATTGAGCATCTTCTCCCTGGAGTATCAGGTTGGAAGTTTTCTCCTTTTGTCAATCCTGACAGTTGTCTAATTGAATGATGAATGTCCCTGCGTCGGGGTGTAATTGAACCACCGGCTCCGTTCGATCGGTTCCATGCTGGCGGCATGTGCGTCCAGCCTCCTCACGGGCAGCAGAAACCCTGGCCAAGGCGCCCCTTCCGCTAGCCTGCCCGTTTTGGTGTGCCCATCTGCCCGGCTGCAGATGAGGCCTCGGCTTATTGGCAGCGACAGATAATGCATCACTCGCGGCCCCCATTATTATGCTAACATCCTGCGATTTCCCCGTGTCGGCCTAGTGTTGTGCAGTAACTGGCTGCCAACTTCCCCTGTCAGGGCGACTTTGTGCCACTGACAGGGATGATGATGAATGGCCAGGGCCACAGTGACAGAAGGCGGTATTACAAAGCAAATTGAGTCATTTATCATCCGGTGACAGGTATCAGTCAGGAGGCCGGGCCCGGAAGGAAAATTCGATTTAGATTGCGGTTTTAAAGGTATCTCTAGGCGTGCTCCTTGGGAGAATGTCAATGAAGAAGCTAAATTAAAGATTACGGAACGTTACACAGGGAAAGAGCCGCAGTTATAAAAATCGTTAACTGTGCTGATGCATTTGCCATGGTTTATGGTCCCAATTGTCCTCGTCACTTTCATACAAAAATGTACTGTGGTACGCTAGAGATATTTCAAAAATAAAATTATATGGAACTCATGAATTTCATAATGCCTCACATTATGACATTGTACAAGAAATGTTCTCACTGTACAGATTTCATTTTGGCCCAAGGATATAATGCCTTAGAAAATAGACTTCAATGATGCTACTGTTAAGTCTGTTAACCATCTATTTTTTATATCAAAATCAATACAGAAGCGTATGAAGAAATCCTATGCACGACACCATATGCCGGAGGTCATGGAGTATTACTATCAAAGGTATGACCTTGCAGACTCACTAGAGGGTACCGGAGTGCTATTGGCCCTCCCAGACCCTGCCTGAAATAACCCTCGGTATGATCACAGCTGGGGCTTTCCCTTATAATGGGTTTGCTGCTGCAATATAACCTACGCCGATCATATTTTATTTCTTCCCATAAAAGCTTCGGTATTGATCCAGCTGTTAAATAGGTCGAATTTTCTATCAAATAACTGCTTCTTATAAGTTATGTGGTTTGGATGTTGTTCTGCTCGTTTTCATTCATTTCTGCTGTTCTTGATCATATCGATTAACCCTTTTCCTACTAATGCGTTCTTTTTTCTCTTGACCTTTTAGCACCGAATAAATCAAGGATTTTTTCTTCTTCTTTTTTACCTGAAGTGATTGATTCTTTTCTGTTCAAAATTTCAAAGACTCAGGAGGCTCTGAAGCTGTCACATAAAGTCACTTTCGTGGATACTCAGGAGTGGGGTTCTTCCCTATCAATGTGCCCATAACAAGCGCATGGGATTTATATTCAGTGGAACGCACTGAAATGTAATAGCACCCAGGGCTGAGATAAAGGCTGGGATCTGATAAATTGTGGTGCCACCTCAGGAGCCAGGGAAGGCAAGTCATGTTACAGTGACCCGCCAGGGAAAACAGTGAGAGCCGATGATTTCATCCTGATGGAAACCCTGCTGCTGCTATCCTGCAGTCTGACCTTCAGGGCTTGTGCGACGCACCGGATGTACAGTGTGATCAGTAGTGCGGATACTCACATCGCCCCGCTGCTAACCTTCAACTAAAGTTTTCAAGTCCATATTTTGCCTTGTTAAAATGTATATTTGAATAGGTAAAAAATACATGTTAGAAAAAGCACATCTCCACGAAATACAAATGTATCGGTTTGAAACATGCTTCTGTTTTCTAATTGTATACAGGTATAAGAGTGGAGTCGAAAAGCAGCCATTGGCTGCTGTAATTGTGGATCTGGCAAATGAGGTAAAATAATTTTACTACAATAGCAGTTTGATTTAAAGCCTACACGAGAAGTGTTAGAGCATTAACTGAGAATCTGATGTCCATGCAATATTTTCATTATTTTATTACAATTGCACGATTTGTTTTTAAGCAGATGATTAACAATTTGGTACAATAATCTAACCCTTGTAATTGTTATTGGTCATGATCATTGGTATTAAAAATGCACTTGGATTTAACGTTGTCAACAACCCTGTAAACATTGTGCCAAACACTGCAAAATACCATATGGTTAACATGAATCAAACATTTTCTGACTGGAAAACATGCATTTAAACAAAATGCAGTAATTGCATTTACTTTATATTTTTCATGTTCACAGCACCAGGCACAGACCAGTTTTTTTGGGGGCATGCTGACATAAGCATCATGTCATTAGAAACGTTACATTGAAAGATGCTCGAACTAGTATTAACGGTTAACGTGTGATATATCCACGTTACTTTACTCATGCTTCAAAATATCAATTTTCTGCTTGTAAAATGCTTCTTAATACTATCTCTTGGTAATAATGCAACCCTTGACTTAGCCCAAGAGACACAAAATAAATATTAAATCTCTCATTGTTTAATAACAGATGACATCTCGTGTTTTACAGTGTGTCAGTTCTGATGGGTTTTATCGTTGTGTTGAAATCGCTGAATATATATGCATATCTATAATGCATTCAAATATAACCCTGTGAAATTACTTTGTCACCTGTAAAGTTTTTGAAATTGATATAGGAGGCTATTTAAATTGATTTACGCTGTAATATTACGTACCTCATGAGCTCAGTATCATAACATTTCATAATTAAAAATGTTTAACAGTCATATTAAAATCGAATACTGTGTTGATAGTTTATATGTATTATTTCAGCGAGCAGTTTGTCAAAAATAGAACATACGAGCAAGCACAAGTATCTTGACACAAGAATCAGAAAACAGAGTACATGGTGGAAATTAAAATTCCCTGGGCATATCATGCACATGATCGTTTTCCATAAGCCTTGCCCTAAGTGCAGAGAGCGCTGTAAGTAAAAATCCAGGAAGCACGGCAGTGTCAGCGGGGTCTCTAGCTGCGTACGCCCAGGCGAGACAGGGACATTAACTCGCAGGGCCTCATGAAAAATTAATGAGACAGGATGAAAACAGGGAGGTAAACTCAGCGATATTTTGAAACATGCAAGGGCTTGCCTATTGCCTGGCTCGAGAGAATGGCAAAAGGAAGCAGGCTTTAGTTTCCCTCCTGTGTTTGAACAAAGAATACACAGTTGATGCTGTGGTAGTGCAGTTTTCTTTGCATTAGATCACTTGTTTTGAAGACAATTGTTTTTTAATGCACAAACAAAATGCTCACTCTGCATTGGAAAGTAATTCACTTATATGTATGCATGTAATGACTTATCATTTAGCTAGGTGGAATATAGGTTTCACTACAGGTTTATCAAAGATGTATCACTGTTTTGCAAAGCACCTGTGCATTTGAACAATTATTAAAAGTTTTTTTTCCATTAAAAAAATAAACAGGTTAGCAGTACTTAAATAAGCTACTAAAAAACGACAATTTTAAAAACTCTTATTCCACTGCCTATACTTTTTTCATAATGAAGCCCATTATATATTTCATAAGATTATTCCGATATCTGCATACATGAGTGAGGTGAGTAATTTTACAAATGTAAGTATTCACATATGTTTGGAAAGACTACAGATGACAACATTGGGGCCTCAAATATACTTTTCTTTTTCAGGTTGATTTCTCCCCAGCCTTGATGGCCCGGATTATTTTGGAAGTGTTTATTATCTCCACCAAAGGAGAAGCAGGTGAGTGCATGAATGTGTGATCTGGGGTATGGAGTACAACTTAACTTGTCTATTTTATCTTTAATAGAGCTGCAAATTATTTTTATTTACGGAAAAAATGTCCATCTGGACACTTCCCATGTTGTCAAGAACATTATGGACCCCTATACTGATGAATGATAAACTTAACACATAGCTTAGCAGTACCAATATTTTGCAGCAAATACTTCAACAAGAAATTGTGCTATCATTTATATTTGTATGAATAGAACACAAGTGTGGGTGTAAGTATGCACACAACATGTGTGTCTGTAAGTGCATTTATGTTTTTCCTTGCACACATTTTTGACACATTTGAATTTCCCAACAAAATTGGGGCTCCCTTAATGGACTGCCTTTCTCGCTTGGTTTTTGGTATCTTTTATATGTATAATACATTTATCAAAAAAGAAAATGCTGCAACTAATGTTATATTCTTGATGTCATGAAAAAGCCATACATCACTTTCATGTTAAGTATTTCTCGAATTTTGAATACAAATTGCTATTTCACATGAAAGGTCATAAGAGGTAGACACAATACAAGCAAACACGATTCCACATTTCCACATTCACCAGGAAAAAAAAGACAACCGTTATCTGATTTTATTTTGTTCCATAAACAGTAGGTCAAGAAAAAATCTAATGATATGTATTTGTTTTTCAGATGAAAAACATCTTTGGAAATACCCTATTTATCTTGTACTTTTGCACGTTGATGACCAAAGTTCACAATGCTGACCGTTTTTTTCTTTATTTTCCTTAAGGACTAGGTTAAACCACCTACTGAAAAGCATATTGTATAAGCCTTTTTCTTTTTTATGAGCCACATTCTAGAATATAAGTAACAAAAATGAATGTCATTTCATTGCTGACCAATCCGCTCTGGGTCTTATTTGTGTATCGTTGATAATACAACCTTGATTGTTCACACCTTTAATAGTTGTGAGCATAATTAATAGTGACCTAAAATGAGACAGAAATGTTGAAGGTTTTTTCTTGATTCTACAGATGATAAGAATAAATATTTTTAATGTAGTATGACCAGCTTTTCTGTTAGATCCTGAGCCATGTAATTTTAGTCAAAAGCAAAAAGTTGAAGTGTTGCCTTATTTTTTTTAATACATTTGAAGGTTTTTGGTAATGATGAGTAAAGTGCTTTTTCACAACCAAGCCCGGTTTCTAAATCTCATTTTCCATTTCTATTATGTTTTAGTTCGTTTACATAAAATGTGCTTGATCAACTTATATTTTATTTAGTTTACCTGCGGTGCACACAAATTGTCTTGCGACTAATCGGCTTTGACACTTTATGAGGAAATTACATGAGATCAGCATGTTGCTACTTCAATTTAATCATGAAGAAGATTAAAATAGTTGTCTGTTGTGCTCAGTTTCCTGGCTTATAGTGTCATTTGTCATAGTCAACCTTCAAATTATATCATAGAGAAGGTGTGCGTACATGTGTCAAAATAACGTTTATGTGCAATATCCTGTAGAGAGAAAGATGGTCTAGTTTGAGAATCATATATATACAAATAAATACGTAATTCCATATATTTTTAATGAATAAGTGATGTTATATTTGTTACGAGTATTCATATTAGCAATAGCAAATAATATCAATAGCACCCTGTATTTATGTGCACACGATATTTGCATGTATTTTACACTTTATATGTAAAATTACTCATGGAGTTGTGATTTAATAATACATTAATCGCCTTGTGATGAAACTATACTGTGCTGTTTTCGTTTTTTAACATGCAATTATTATTTTGTTTCTGCTTCTATAGTGAATAGGTAACAAATGCATCCACCGATTGAAAATAAAATTCAATCCACACAGCTCTGTTGTGAAATCATGAAATTTTCCTCTGGATATTGGAGTTGTGTAATGTGTTTCCATTATGAAACAAAGATGAGATAATTGTATTCCATGGCAATTAGCAAAAGAGAGCCGCTCAGCATTATTGGCAGAAGCATCCATCACCTCTCTCCCTAGTTACAATTATTTCATCCTCGCTAGCCTAAATAGATCGATACTGTCTCGCCCGGAAGGGAAATTATCGCCTGGTTTAATAATCCAGGATGTGTGCACCGTGCCGGTCATTTTAATTTTCATTAATGTTGGGATGGGGACTTGGAGCTATAGCTGTTGCTTTGGGATTGTGCCCACTGACAACCTGCTGATGTGTTGCTTGCTATAAAATGCTGACACGCAAACATTGCAAGAGAAGCTGATTGCATTGTGACTTTGCGTTTGCTTTGCTTTGTTTTACTCATTAGAAAACTCAATACTTGGTTTGTGGTTTGTTGAAGCAATTTCTGTTCATTCATGTCCACCGAGAATATACCAAAAAAATCCTAAACAGTAACCTTTAGGTAAACATTGGTTTCTCTGTACCATAGTAATATTTACTGCACCATTTATTTAACATCCACTTTCCCAGAAGGTGTGGATAGCTGCTTTTTGTGTGTAATTGTGAACATTGTAAATTGCAGCTCGCAAATTTGACAACCCTAAAATATACTGGTTTGCATTGCGTGAAGCTTTTTAATGGTATACAACCTTTACAACCTTGACTATTGGTATTACAAACACTGACTGAGCAAATTACTATACAATATCAATAAACGTGATAGATTATGAAGTAAATCCTTTCGTAAGTGAGTAAAACGTGGTTGGTTGAAAATGATGGAATAATTCTAACACATTTGATCTTGTGGTATTGCCAAAGAACCCAGCGGCTGTCAGAAATAGCAGATGGGAAGGAGATTGAGGTGGCAGTTGCTAAATGTTTCTTTATAAATAATCGAGATTTGAGTCGGCAGCCGCGTTGGCTGCTGAAGGACAAATTAAACCAGAGTCGATTTGGGAATCTAATGAGGGCTGCTGCAGGTAGACAGATAGCGAGACTGTCTGCTGATATTTGAACATCCCATTTATCACGTAGGGTTCCATCAATACTAGACCCATCCACTTTATGTAAATGTCCCCTAATATTCTCTAACCTGCATGCCCTGAGATTCATCATAAAGGCTCCCAATCAACACACACCATTATGTCTGAAAGGTGTGATGGATGAGCAGTTTTGTGGTTCAGCGCCCGTGTGAGAAAGGACCATGCGTATCCTTTAATTAATAAACAAGTTGAAAAATTTCATCGGCGTCACCGGTAATGGAGGTTCTCATTTGTTACTGCTTCCTAAATTACCTACAAGAACTCTTGCAAAAAAATGTAAAAAACCATCCAGCACATATCGTAGAATATGCATGCATAAAAAAGTAATAACTACAGTAATTTATTATTCTGGCATTATGGAATTCTAGATTGTGGCCATTTTTTTTTAAAGAAGATTAAGTATTGTAACCTTGTAGTTGAAGAAATTAAAAATGCAATGGTACCTGCATTTCAAATTTGGCCTCGGACTGAAAATACTGGTCGTGGTAGCCAACAATACAGATTTGAGCCTTTTCATTGCAAGAAATTATATATATAACAGAAAAATAAATATTTCTGAATAGATAACAGGAGCAGTGGTTGTGCTTTGTGGATGCTGTTAGTCCCCACTGTGGGCCACCTTTGAGTCTGCGGTCATAAATGCGTGCTCTTTGCTTGTAAAATGACTTTCAGCATTTTTATTATCCATCGCATCAATTGTGATGCTTTGTTAGATACTGAAATTCCATTTTTATTATTTATGTTGGCCTGCACTATGCAATTTTGCTTGAACTCCTTCCTTCCATATGTTCGGCTTAACCTGCAAAAAAAAGTGCAAAATATTTAAAAGAAAGCATTTTCCCCTCAAACAAAACATGATAAATTGTCTAGTAAAAAATGAACAGGGCTGCACTGTGCCGATAAAAGGTGGCGGCGGCGAAAAAGAAAAGGAAGACAAATGAGTGGGCGACAGCCCCTCACCGCTTGGAAGCTGGGACGTCAGATTAGCTGAGAGTTTATGAGACCGCGCGCGCGGGCCAGACAATCATACCGTTCAAAGCAAGCATTATCCTCTGCCTCACCTCGTAAATGAGATTTTTAAAGCTAAAAACTGCACGCCGGCTTAACGGCACATTTCATTGGTCAAAGTGACCCAGAACGATTTCTGCTCTTTTTATTGCAAGCCAGCTCTTTTCACCAAACTGCGTAGCTTTCTACTGATGATAAGTTACCTATTTCAACGTGCTTGATTTATTAGTTGTGTACAGCTGTTGCCTAGACTAGGAGTGCAAAAGCTTGCAATGTCAGCTGCAAGGTCAGACTTTTACTCTCTTAAAAAAAAGCCTTAGGCCCTTATCCTCGCCATCATGAGAATGACTATAAAGGGTTTTTTTGGATTGGCATTGCATTGCATTTTTTTTCATGGTGAATCAGCTGTGTTACCGGCTTCCAGTTTTTAGCTGCTCACAAAAATGCCTCATATTGTTGACTTTTTTGCCTTCTGGGATGTTTACCCCACACAGCTATTTTACGAAAGCATTCCAAAATCTATACAACTACCATTAGGGTGAGGGGGTGGGGTGGGGGAAATCAATCAAAACGCCATTAGAGTGAAAAAGTCGGTAATATTACCAGCCCGGCAAGGCTCTTTGATTTTCCTTCAACACGGTGTAAAAAAGTGCAATGTTGACTTTGTTAAGGGAAATGAGCGTTGTAGGCCAGCAATTTGTCTCCCAGCTTCATAAGCTCAGCTGCTTGATATCTTCTCGCGTATTGATTCCCCATTATCATTTGTCACGCGCTGTTCTTGCTCTGGCTGCCCTAAGCACCGCCTTAACACCTTCAGTCATGCAGTTTTTCTTAATTCTTTACCCCTGACTGCACAAAGAATGCCTTTAAGGTAATCTTAGAGTACAAATTAAATCCCAATTTCAACTGATAATTTCTACCTGGGTCCCAGGTGCATACCATTTTTTTTATTTGTAGCTTCAGGTTATGGGCGCGTCTTTTTTAAAAAGCTAGTTGACTGACCCAAATCTTGATTAAATGGTGTTGCTGTGTGCAGGCGACTGGGCAAAAGGGTTAATGTGAGGCCGTCTGGGCGGAATTGCACAATTGTGAGGCTCCACAGATGCCATTGAGGTTATTACGGAGAAAACTGCAAGCCAAACGGCACAATCATAGCCCCATCCCATCCGATAGCTGTACAGTATAATGCAGTGTAATGCTTTTCTTTCTTTAGCATGTTTTTTTTCTTCTCACTTGATTTTGGATAGACTTCAACGACATTGTTAACGCTAGCTTTTAGTCTGATGGGTTTACATCATTAGGCAGCATGTGATCTGTCTGCAGATTGTCAAGAGGGAGAGAGGTGTAATTGTTTATTGCACCTTAATTGTTGGATAAATAAAGTGGCCATAAAGCTATATTTTGTTGGTGCCATGGGTGTGCTGTGCTATGAATTCAGGGTGTGTGAATTAATGGGCTTGCTGTTATCCCTGCAGCATAATTAACCTCAGTCGACTAACTTCAGCATCAAATATTTGCATGGTAAATGCGGACTACATTACTCATGTATTTTTTGTGTAAATATACATTTGTTTCATGATCACGTCCAAATTATAATTGCCTGTTTTAGTATAATTTTAAAGGATCTTAAAACGTGGCTTATTTGTTTTAATTATTACCGTTTCCAATTATGTTCCTAATTATTTTACATAATTTTGCGTATTTTTTATTTAGCATCTCAATATTTTTTTATATCTCCTCTTCCTCAAAATGTCCTTCGTGGTTTTAGATTAATTTTTTCTCGGTTTGCTTTTTAATATGTCCCCCTACTTTCAGTACATAATCAATTACTCTGCTAGTTATTGCTTTATTCATGGTGGTGACATCTATTTCATGATTTTTATTCTCTTGACATTTGAATCTGTTGCATAGTGTTTGACCTAGATTTTTATATTTTACATCCTGTTTTTGCCTAATATTAGATTTGCCCTCCTTGGCGATGAAGTGCAACTTTTTTTGTGCCAGACCGTGATCGCTTCCTGTGTTGAATTTGTTCATGATAGAAATATCTTTTTCATCTGGCATTTGTCTGTTAGAAGCAAGTCAATCATGTTCTCTGAATTATTTCCTAGATTCTTAAAAAAAAATTCAAACATTCACTGGCTGCAAACTAATGTTCACCTCTTATTCTTCACTGCAATGCCAAGCTTACAATCATCATCTCACCTTTGCACATTTTGCATACTTTTGCATCAGGCACCCATTTCAATTTTGCTGTGTTTTAACATTGTTTAGTAGTTGGTTAATTTCATCAACACCATGACTTGTTGGTGCACATTTTAATAATCTTTAACTTGAAGTGGGTGGAAATACTTAATGCTAGAGCCTTCTAAAATGAGAAAAGACATTGACCTAAACACTAAAATTCAGGACTTCATAGCAAATAATGGGAGCATGAAAGAAGCAGTTTTTATTCTTCATACATTTGGTTTAATTATGCTATGTAGATGGAGCGATTCAATCAGCTAATGTGCTGGCGCTAGATGGTGTTTTACTTCCTGAAACCATGAGATATTGTGAGAGCTTTGAGAGTTTTTCATCCAGCCTTGAATTGGACATCCCTGATGATGATGATATTTATGTTGAAGTTTTAGGTTTTACAACATGTTCTGACATGCTTTTTTTCCTTACAGTGGACAATGTCTACAGCACTTGCATCAAAACATCGGCTTAATATAGAATAGTTGTCATTGGCCAAAAAGGCATTGGTTATCGCATAGATACAAGTGATTTATGTTTCCTGCCAGATTTTTTCTTTTCCAGTCAAACTCTGTATGGCCACATTTTTGCGAGTCAAAATGGTACCACGTTCTCTCTGTGAATAAAATACTATTTTGCATAATATAGATTGTTATTTTGCAAAAAAATAATCAGAATCCACTACCATTGTTTAAGCTTATCGAGGTCTGTAAATAACTTACAGGGATGCTGATGACATGACAAATAAAAGTGAAATTACTTGACATCACATAGAACATGCCAATAGCCATTGCGTGCTATCCTTTTTCAGTGAGATATGTGGATCAATATGCAATTGATAGCCCAAATTGCCAATAAAACGTCACTGGATATACATTTTATCAATAACACAGTATTTTTTTATACTGCTTGAATGAGGCAGTGTACATGTTTTGAGCGATGCTTACGTGTGAATATCCTGGCTGTACAGACTAGGGACAGGGTTATTGAAAAACAATAATACTGTATAGGTCAGAGTTTATGCACAAATGTTTATTCTCATGTGCAAAATGTCCTAAGATTTCAGAGACATTTATGCATCTGCATGACCAGAATAACTAATTGCAGCATGTATAAAATATAACGTTGTTTTGTGTTTTACGAATCTTAATGTTCCACTCATGACATTATGGCAATTTTGCATTTGGCGATATGATTATATTGACTAATAGGCACAGCTCAAATATTTGCAATGCATTTACATACATATAAACATTTATGTGTGCATTTACATATATATAGTTAGAATTGTCCCATTTGGGTTTTAACATTTTGCTACTGCTTTTGAGGGTGCAGAGTTGCAAGCTGCGCCATCAGAGGGAGTCAAAGTCAAATGCATCAACCGTTTAGACTGTTTTATTGTCAAAAATGTCCAGAATCGTAGAAATAACCATTTATTATTTTAATGGTTTCCTTTCTTCAGCCAGCAAGCCAACCCTGAATGCAATGCTGAAAGATCCATCACAGATCACGGACCCTGTGTTGTCTGCTCAAGTGTACCAGGTCAGAACACCAGCTGTCCCAGGCATCTTTTACTCACATTTTGAGTGGTCAATCCCAGATTAGCATTCTATTCAATGTCCCACCGTTTGACTGTTTACATGTTTACATTAGTTGGGCATTAACCGGATTAAGGTATTTGGTTTGCAGCTTCTGGTTTTCCCTTAAACATTAATGAATTGCATGTTTTTTTGTCGAGTAATCATGGAGCTAGGGTCAGGGTGTAGAGTAAACCTGAAAGCTATCTGCCTTCCCATGGGGGGCTCATTACACACTTCAAGCAATCTGCCGTGGCACATCAATGGATGGCGGGACCATTTCTTATCAGGGGGCAAAGTAGCTACTGCATTGATTGCTGCACAAAGGCATTTCTAACCCATGGCGTCAACAGGGGAAGTGAGCAACAGAATAGAGGGCTGGTCACAAACACATTTTATACAAAAAGAAACTAATTCACGTTTAGATGCTTATAAATGTTTTTTGTTGTTTTCATTTCTGCAGTGTACATTGAATGATTGCTGTTATGGACCACTGGTGGACAGCATTAAGCAGTATCCTCGCTTCTGTCACATTAACCACAAATCACGTGTGTTTTTTTATCATTTTCAACTTCTATTTTTTTCTGCATTTTCTCTGTTTTTTGCAGGCTTTGTGTTCATGTAGTGGCATTGCACTGTGTGGATTGCTTGAGGGCAATGAGATCCTCTTTATCTTTTCTGTTATCCCATCTCTTTTTGTCAAAACTATTTCTTCAATATGACCAAAGGAAATACTGTTTTTCGGACGACTTTTAGCATTTTTCCATTGCCGTGTACATTTTTTTGTGTTCCCTCATCCACAGTTCTATACATGTTCTTGCACGTCAACTCAACCTCAGTAGGTCATCATCACAATTCTCCTCTACAAGTTGCTTTCAATTTGTTGTGAGCTGGAGGGAATATTAGAGTTTGTATATATTTTGTTAACCCTCTTAGGGCCCAATACACATGATGTATGCAATGGAAGGAAATACCATTGGTTGTTCTCTTAGTAATCTTCGTTATAATTATTCCTCTTTTACAGCAAACACCAAAAAACGTTGAAAATGTGAAAACCAAAATTACTGGTGAAATTACAAATTTGACTGCAGAATTTGGCATTTAGTTTTGAGGTTAAAATGTCAACACCATAAATCTTGACAAAATAGTGTCATTAAGTGTACTGTCACTTTAAGGCCACTTACGTGCTAGGTTGCCTTCATGCCTTTGCCAGCTGTGCCCCATACCCCTCCCACCTCCAACCACCCCCCATCACACTTTTGGCTATGTCCATTCGTGTGTCACGCCCTGCCCTGCCCGTTTGCCCGCTAGGGGCCCGGAGGGGAAATGTTTACAGCCGTTGGTGGGCGCAAGTTAATTATGCTGGGAGCGGGAGGCAGCTCAGGTTGCACGGTAATGACGGTGCCCATGCTGAGGTCACTAATTATGAGATCAGTTTCACGGTAATCTGTGGGATTGAAAGGGCAGCTTTCAAGGGAGACGGCCAAAAGTTCAAACATTCAAAAATGCCTCCCGGCAATCAAGCAAGTTCTTCACGTGTATTCCATTAACTAAAATAACTTGTACGGCAAAGAAAATACCCCTTTTTTGTTTTATTATCCTGTGTACGTTGAAAAAAATTGAAAGTGTTTTCTGAAGTCCACAGAAACTGGACCATGTACTGTACATGTGTCTTTAGTTTTTTCTTCTTCCTTAATCAAATGCAGCTAACATACGAGACATATGGTTTAGATTTTTTCATAGTCATTCCAAATAGTCTTTATCAGCAAGTATACATTCATACCATTTTTTATATAATTATCTCTACCCAGACTTGTGCTGTATTTAATTCACTCAAATATTCTCAAGAGAACAGTCATATTAAATTATTTTGCCGATGAAGTTATGCTACAATTGCAAAATGAACAAAATGAAACACAAAATAAGTGTTAGTCTTTTTCAGGTATAACCTTTCTTAGCTTCAAAATGTTAAACGGTAACAATAATTGCATGTTATATTTTAAAATATTCTGTTCCATGTATCGACTGCTTTTTCAATGATGGTGTTTTACCCTGTGGTGCTTTGATTTGCTATCGTGTATGCCCACAAAGGTGAAGTGGTAACCCTTTATGAGATGCACGCAGCTCGGTTGGCTATGAGCACGAGATCCTGCTCCGAGAAAAACTCGGGGAGCGCAGACTTGCATTTCAGGGTAAGCAAAAGCCACTTAACACTGACTATTATATGGCACTTTGCTGGTTATTTGGCTATTTGGTTTGTTTTATTTTTAAGCTTTGATTTAAATATGAAATTATATGTATTTTTATCCTATTTATGAGTTACTTTATTGTACTTATTGTACTTTGTCAAAAAAGTCCTATTTTGAGCTCTGAGGTCTGACAGCATTAATTTTGTCTCGCGGTAACATGCCTCTGAAAATTAAGACTATTAAAAATGCCTTGAAAACTTTCCAAACATTCAACACATAGTGGAACAGTCTTCTCCCGTTGCTTGAGTGTACTTGTGTTCATACCATGTGGTTTCGGTTTTAAGGGGCTGGATATTCTGACAGCCGATACTTTAGCAGCAATGTTGTGCAGGCTAATGGTGAGAAATCTACGCCGGTCCTTTGCGGGCTCGGGTTATTAGGTGTGGTTGACGTCGGTAAGATGGTTTGCCATTAAGCAGGGTCTCCTGTTTACCCCCACTGCTAATGTTGCGCAGATGAGGACGATTTGCGTACCAAAGGTTATGACAAAACTCCAGACATCATTTTGGAGGTTCCAATCTGTGAGTTTTAATTCATTGTTATTCTATTATTCTGCCTTTTTCTTGCATAAATGTATTTTTCAATAATGAAGTAATCGAATGCAACAAATTGTTTTGTCATTTCAGCTATAGTCGGCACACATTTGGAAGCAGTAAAAAAATAATATTTTGTTGTGTATCAAGCACATTCATGAGAGGAAATGGCCATTCTGTGCTTTTGGGGATGGCCATAAACCAGAGCATATGTTAGAGATTAGCTGGCATTGTCCATCAATTGAATGGGCACGTTTGATTATCCATGTGAAAATGTAAAATTGCTCCTATATGCCCTTCAATCCAAAGCGAAGGTGGAGAGAGGCACTGAATTCTGGATCGTTTCCAGCTCTGCCATGTGTGTACATTTAACTTCTCATAACCCCTGAACTTTATTGTCAGACGCGAGTGCACTGATTGTTTGGAAAGGCCAGGGAAAACAATATGCATGACAAATGAAAATATCAGCTCTCTGTGGTTAAGACTTTTCACGATCATTACCACATTCATTGAAATTTGAATATTTACATAAATTTTGAAGTATTGCTTCAAATTGCTGCTGTAAAATAACACGAAGCATTCAATAAACTCTGTAAGCAGGAAGAGCAGGTGCTTATATTTCATAGTGTAAGTTGGCAAACGAGTACCTTGCTTTTGTAATCATCACTTGCAATTATATTGCTTAATTTCTGTACTTAATATATACAATATAATTACTCCCACTTGCTGCAAATGTGTTGAGACATCACATGTCGGTGTAAACACTGTAACTGCCATTCCCATAGCCTACCACTAAATTGTGTTCAGTCAACACCTCCGTATTATTTTGTGGGTGAAATTAGACTACCCGCAAAAAGCTTTCATTTTTTAATATGAGTGAAACTATGAATAATGTGTAACTCTCACTAAGCGTTATATATATTCTTACAATAACACAATAGCTGGCAGTTGCATACATACAGACACCAGCTTTTAAATACATGTGTGTACTTTATCAGTATTTGCTCACCAAAACAGCACCAGCGTGCCACGTGTGTTATACATTCTAACACACGAAATTCGGCAACATGCACAATAACATAATGAACACTCGATATCATGTCTGCTCGTAGTTGGCTACATTTACAAAAAAACATACATGCAATAATTGATATGGCACCACACATCTCCTGATGCTGACACACGTGACACACACGTGACAAACAAGTGCAGATCAGTTTTGGACCTCCACAAAAATCTACGTGCATGCTGGCAATCTGGCAATCATATAACCCTTCAGTTGGGACTTTCGATATAATGTTTGGCACATAGCGTTGACGTCGTTTCTTAATTGCGTGCCTTTGTGTGCCAATTTTATGGCTGAAATACTGTACCCACAATGAGCTATAATCATATTATTAGTATTTTAAGTGGTGCTCTTTAGGTTTTTGTTCAATTGCACTTCGTTGCATTATTACCCAATAGTGTGCACAATTGAAAAAAAAACAGTGGCCCTACTCAAAATATGACCTGCATTTGTCATATTCAATTTTCAGCACATGGTCTCATTGTTCAGACAGTCCAGTATTATGCGATATGTCCACATGCAATTGCTAGCACCTGTTGTATGTTTTATGTTGAAACGTGTAGCTGTTGATGGGCAAGTGATCCACTGGATTGAGAGCAAGGCCTCCTTTGGAGATGAGACGAGCCACCAGACCTATCTCCAGGACCAATTTTGGAGCTACTGGAACAGGTGAGCCCATGCCCGTTGGTCGTTCTTATATCCTAATAATCCGTAGATACACTTGCATTTGTGGAGAAGTCTGCAGTTTAGGCCAAATACAGGTGCACAGGAATGGAAAATATTTTCCTCCCAGAGGTAGGTGTCTGTAGCTCCTTTACAGATGTAAGGAATACAATTGGAAGTTAAACGCTCATTGTGCAAATGCAATTTTCCACAAAACACTTCAAGTGCAATTGAAATTACAATTGCTATTTGACTCCCTTGCAGATAAATGTAAGAGTAAAAATAGAATTGAAACGTATTCATGCATGCAGAGAGGTGCACATTATTTACGAAAATCTATTGACTTTATTAGTGTACAGTGGCTGCTGATAAATTAAGGTTTGAGAACCGTGAGTGTTGTGTTTCAGCAGCACTGTATCGCAGTGGCAACGCAGGAAATTGCTGAGCAGTGTAGAGCAAATTCCTGACCAATGAGGCTATTCCTGTTGGTTCTTTTGTGAGTGGCCCATGGCATAGCTGCCATTAAGGTTTGGCTTGAGAGCAAGAAAGTCTAAAGTTCACATATTTAAGGTTTCAGAATCACATTTTGGGATGGATGGACAGAGGCCAACAACTGGGGTCCTGGTTCCAGCTGTGGTCTGCTTGCTTTCCCATAAAATGCATTTCCAATTGTTGCTGGCAGGATTACTGAGTGGCATGTAGTTAAAAATGGACATACCATATGTCAGTCCTGAGCTACAGATTTGTGACCCTGAATAATCCCTGTTCCCAAAAGAAAATGGAGAAAAAAAGTGGCGTTCATTTTGCCTTGGACGTTAAGGACGGTTTAATGTATATTACCCGCATATTGTAAATTTTTACTTTTATGTGGCTGGTTATTCATTTACAATTGATTAATTGGTTGATTTGTTTTTTTGTTGGCTTATATTGTTTATAAAATTGCCTCATAAGACATTTTCATCCCAAGGTAGTGTTCTTTTTGCAGTTAAAATGGACCATAACTCTTCCACCAATGTGTATAAGGTTTAAAAATAACAGCCAGATTTCATGCATAATTAGTGTTACACCTGCTAAAGTAACCTTAACGGACTTTGAAAAAATACAATTATAAAAGCATTCTACACAATTGATGCTTCTGTAATAGCCTCATAAGGATTGAATACTTTATAGGGAAGTGTTTAATTCAAAATATTAAAAGGTTATCGTGTACACATTGTTTCAGATGCTATTGTCTCTTATTTAATGCTGGTGTTTAGTCACTTATTATTTGAAAACCAGCAATGACTGCTAACGTTGCAAAAATATTTGTATTGTATTTTAAAAATTCCAACTTTGCATTGGTCATCATATTGGTCTAATACAGTACTATAATGATTGTGAGCTAAGCTGTACTCTCCCAAAACATGAAAGAAATTGCCCGGGAATACTTCCTTTCATGACTTCCTAAAAACCACAATATTAGTTCTTCTCAGCAGGGATACTGTAAACTTTCCATAGCCAGGCTATCCAGTGCAGCTCATTCCACTTTCTAATGCATACCCCCCCTATGATAGATTTTCATCCCATTGAGTCGGGGCACATATAAGTAACGGTAGTGCATAAACATTTCTTTCATGTGTTGATGAATTTGCACCGTGTCAAAACAGGGCCCCTTTCAGGGTGGCCAAATAAATTTACGTCCGTGCTTAATCTCGTAAGCAGCTATTGTTCATTCTGTCCCACACCCAGCATGGCTTATCTTTCAAACGTGTTTGGTAAGTGCTGGACATGTGCCACGACCAAGTCACTGTACCTGAACCCTGTCTTACTGTGTGGCTTCGTGGCCTTAATGGAGTTTACCAGCATTTGATTTCATCTCATCTCTAAAGAATTGTTCTTATTCCCAGAGCTCGGGCACTGTCTCAATACAGTGATATCATTACATAGCAGCAGGATTTCATTTTCTGTTGCCAATTCCATGCCATGCTAAACTCATCATTGTTACATATATAAATAATGCGAAGCGCCATGTGTTATTACTTCACTTTTTATATTTTTTATCAGAATTTTAAGTAGTTTTTTGTGTTGCCCAATGGAACTGCATTTTTTAGTACATTTGCAGTAGCTGTGTATGTAAGATGTCTGTATTACATAGAATACAGTTGTGTTATCTGCAGTTCTAAATTTAAGGTGTCCAAGAATATAAAGGTATTTGCAAGATAAATGAAGGGGTGTGTGACTTGTGACGAGGAATGGGAAGGTATTCTTACAGATTCCATTTTCCTTTATTAAATATCACATTTCCGTAATTGGCAGATTGGTAAATTAAGCAATTTACTTTGATTATGTACATTTAAGGTTGTCACAACCATACAATATGTCGGAAGACCTGAATTAACTTAGAGAAATTGCAAAGGCGAGCTGAACTGCAGCACGTGCAACCGTGGCGCCATCCCTTGCTGCTCGCCTACACCATGGTTGCTTAGTTCGCTCGCATGCATTTAACCTGCCCTGCAATTCAACTTTGACCTCCAACCCATGGAAGCATCTATCATGCTGTGCCTCAGACCAAAGGACAGTGTCTTGGCCGGGTAATCTGGTAAGACCGTGCAGGAATTCAAACACCCACAAGGCCACATCTGAATTTGTTTAATAAACATTTAGCCTTGAATGGAATGCCTGTCACAAGGCGGGACATTTCTCTAAAGTAAATTACACTGCCTTGATTTATGATGTGGTGTACGGATTTATGCCCGTAAAATAAACTCCTTTTATGAACATGGGCTTCTTCTCAGGCTTTGTCGAGAGTGGCAGTTTTGGTTTCATCCACTAATGTATTTTTTTCCAAAGTTGTGTGTATTTTACAGCGTGGGGTGTATCGCCTTTAGATTTATGTGCAACGATTAAACCAACAACGGACAGCCTGGTATTTTGCAAAATAATGTTGATATATAATTTCTTAAACATTTTCGCGAGGCTTATTAATGTCACAAGCCACGGCCCACCAATGTATTTGAGTGAAATTGTGGTCGGTGCTCTAAAACCCACATACTTTGGAAAATCAATATTGCGTGTATCTGCATTAAATAGAAGAGCATGGGTTCAGCTTGGCTGAAACAGTATCCTTATTCCCCAGGTTGAACCTGCAGATAATTCGGAAAATAACTTTTACACGTGTTGATAGGGATTTGTCACTTTAATGAAACCACAGATGGTGGCATTATGTGAAAGCCATGGCTTAGTGTGCACAGGCTAGTGGCACAAAGCCTGTGGATCAGGGGCACACTTGAGAAATTAAGGGCAAAGAAGTTCCCCCCCCCGTCTGATTTATAATTAGATCCTGTAGAAAAGTTCAGGTAGTTGCATGACAAGCCAAGAATGATGGGGTCATTCCGAAGTCAAGTTCAAAAAGGATTATGAAATTTAATCTATAAAAAGGGCAATTTGGTGCATCATATGAGAAAGGGTATTTTAATTAGTATAATAGCTTTTGGGTATGTTTTATTGTGTCCAGACAATGTCGTTCTACATGATGTTTATATTTAGCTCTAAGTTTTACCTTTTTGTACTCCGATGTTACATTGCAATTTTATTTTTTCATTTTATATTTCACAAATATTTATTTGTCACATTGATTTTCTTCATCTCAGTGTGAAACATTTTTATATTTTTGTATACATTTAAAATTGCAGTGTTGTGTTAATCCGTATGCAGAAAGTCATATTTTGTTGCAAATTTCACATACGTCATTGGCCGTTCAACTGTTGTGAACAGTGATTGTTGATACTACATTCTTATTCCATTTACACATTGCGTTGTATGCAACTGATGGCAATCCATTTTGTGCTTCAATGCGGTGGAAGTGCAATCCATCACAGAATCATTTGGATGTCAGTGTTCATGTTGGTGACTAAATGTAGACCATGTTAGGGATCGTAGGTGGAGGGGTAGGTTTAGAAACACGGTATATATACAGCATATATTTGGAATGCTAATCAAAAGGTGCAGATTGGGTGTGGACCTGTGTATAGCACTTCTGGTTATAATATTAGTTTAAATTTAATGCAAATAACATCGTGGAAATAATGTATTGGTAATTCTAGTATAAAACAGTTTCTATACATACACCATGTAATACAATTAACAGTTTCAAATAGGACACCTTGGTATATTTGCGGTGGGAAATAACTATTCAATTGACAATTGAGCCAATTATCACCCTCAGAAACGATTTCAATGTATACAAAACATACATGTGTTAAATGGAATGTACTAGCTTAAAAGGAAAGCGTTGGCAGTTGAATGCAGCTGCGCAGCTAATGGCTTTTTTTATCAAAGGGAGATAAGTTGGCTATCACTTTGCTTTCAAAACCGGTGGAGAGGGACTTTTGGTCATCATTGGCATTTCCCAGCAAATCCTCAGTAATACGGAGCAGCTGTTTGGCTTGTCGGTTAAAGAGCAGCAACCCCTGGTCAGGGCCCAGTGGAATTAATCCAAGCCACGTTTCCTGTGTGCACATCACGATTATGCCCCGTTTAACTCCAGCGACATGTGGTCATCCACTGGGGCAGCCCTGCATTACAAGGCCCTGGCCATGGCGGCTCAGGTTTCCCATTAAGCCGCTTTAATCCAGGCCTAAGCCTTCAACACAAATGCCACATGGTGGTTTGCGCTGCCACGTTTTATCACTCCTTGGCTCACCGCTAAAAAGTATTGGGACGATGCAAGTGTTGGAGCACTTGATAGCAACCGTTGACTCCTCGGGCCATAGCTTGCTCCTTCTCTTGATTGGGTATTGTCATTTGGCACGGTGCTAGGATTTTGCAAATGGGTGCCAAGTGTTATCCTTATTTGCGGCTCTTTAAGAACATGCTCCAGGCATGTTTGTGCAGAAGGCGTGGAAGTTGTAAATGAATGGGTGCTGGATGTTGACACGTCATTTGCAGTGTTTAAACACTTCAAACTCTACCTAATACCTCGACATACTGAGTGCCGCAGTTTATCCTGCTGTGCTAGGTGGATTTGAACACTGAAATAAATATACAATATTTTAAGGAGGTCCATAAGTATACATTTAAAATGTATTTTTAAAGAGGAAAAAGCAGGATTGGAAACTCCAGGTAATGTCTTTCAAACTGCCAACTGCTTAAAAGATGAACCAATAATTCATATACTGCACACTGTTGGGAATGTTTGCCTTCAGGGTCACTGCCATAACAGTATGTGGCTGGATAGTATGTGTGTCCTGACTGTGCATGTGTGTTGTCACCTCCTGAGAATCAGGCCCTGCCAGGAGCCCCCTGATGCATAGCTTTGACTTCTTTATGAACTCAGCCCTCTTGACAACCGTTTCCTGGCTACCACCTCATGCCAGAGGGACCACTTCCTGAGCACTGAGGGGGGTGGGGGTGAAACTTGCAATCATTGCTGCCTGCTTCGGAAGCTTTGGGTGCTGTACCACTTTTACGAGTAAGGTGCACATGTGAAATATCAAGTGTTGCAACTTCTGGTGGTAAGGCAGCTGTGTAAACTTCATATAGGTCCTCTGATGAATTATTGCAATCGGTGGGTAGGAGTGGTTCTTTCCAAGCATACCCCCGCTTAGACTGATCCAAGATACAACTGCTCCCTGGAAGTCTTTGGCCTGTCAGTCCTGAAGAAATGTGGGCATAAAATATCCTTTATCCTTTTATATGGTATCATTCTTGTATGCCTGTTATATACTATATAATATTTTTTCAAATAAAGAATAGATTGTAAAAGCCTAATAAAACCTCTGAAATTTCACAGCAGGGTGGTGAGAGTGGTGGTGTAGGTAGTATTGAGCCTGCACACATAAAACACAATAGCACGCAATGTGGGTGAGCAGCTTAAAGGTACCTGCTGTCCATCAGCAAGAGGTGCATCCCACACTCTTGTCATGACTGGCTTTTCACCATCTCCTCAGGGACACTTGCAGGCCTGAACTTTCACCTTACACCACTGTTTGGTTGTTTTGGAATTTATTGTTTTTCAAAAATGCATAGGTCCAGACATTCCTCTGTGTCTGTGACCTGTCTTCAGGATCCAAACCCACTCAGTCATCCTTTGTGTTCCATTTACAATGGGATACAGTGTAGCTGCTTCCAGAACAAAATAGCTAAACTAAACAAAAACTACATCAGCGGACCCAGAGCCCCATTCTTTCACTGTAATTACGCGTGTTGCTTTGTTGATGTGCGTACGCGTTCGTATGTGCGCCCCTTTCCCCCCCAGGTTTGGCCCGGGGCTCGTGATCTACTGGTACGGCTTCATTGCAGAGCTCGACTGCCATCGTGACAGAGGCATCTTGCTGAAGGACCGTTTCCCCGATGACATTGTTACGCTCGAGCCTGCAGCCGTATCAAGTTCACAGTAGAGCGCTGCCCTCCGTTGTGCTTCAGGGCAGTTACCTCTTGCCGTTCTTCACCTTCAACCACCTTTTTTCTCCCTTTCAAATGATGAATGAATGCCCAGCTTGCCCAATCATTGTCCTCAACTATGCTTTAGCCGTCTCCTGACTATAACATTGGTTGTGAAATGTATTAGCCAATGTGTCCTGGGGAAGTCTGTTTTCTGAGCAATTATTTATACATGGCAGTGCAGTAATAAATCTTACATGTTCCATTTTGTGGTGCAACAAACTTGCAATGCATTCTTCAAAATGCATAATTTAAGCTGTTCTTTCCAATAATTGTTCTCTTTTATGTTTTTTTGTAAACCAAAACAAATAGAAAATTTTATAGCATATTTTTTTAAAAGAAAATCAACCAATTTCTGATTTTAGGTCACTAAAGCATTTTAATATCGTAAAAAAAATTGGAGGAAAAAATATACAAATGGATTTAAATGATTCGTTGAAGAATAACTCTCAACATCATCAAACTGGAGTAGCTCTTGGCTCGGGGGTTTGGCTGATGGTGCTTTGAGGAAAAGACACATCTGCATTTGTACAGGAAATAGAACTCTCGTGTTCAGGGTGGTGGGGAACTGGCGAGGGGAGAGGGGTAGGTGATGACAGAATGTAAATGGAGAATAAATATCAGCAGTGCTGAGGCCTCCAAACCTGCTCCTGCTCACCAGAAACACTCTAAGGAGTTTGTTAGATTGAAAGCTGCAAATTGGAGCTTCCTTAGAGTTTTCCCGTTTCGTCAGATGGACAAAAGCTGTAAGAAAGGAAAGTAAATTTACTGCGTAATAACAATAGGCAGTTATGGACATTGTGTAAATGGAATAAAAAAAAAAATTCTGTAAACTTAATAACCGTCTGATGTGCAACTGTATGTCTTTTTAGAGAACCATTGAGCAGTTTGGCCGATAGCGAATTGGCGGCAAAAGTGGAGATGGAGAATGTGTGGGAGAATCGGTCATTTGGGCCAGGGCTAATTTCTGAACAGCTGGATAAAACACGTCTGTCTCAGCTAATCAGGCTCCGAGAGAGGAGGGGAGCTGCTGAAGGCGGCTTGGCACGCTGTGTGCCCCAGCCCAAGCCAAAGACGCCAGATCAAAGGCAGAAGGCACATATACAGTAACTGTGAGCCGTGAGCATTGGTGAAATACAATACCCTGGACGTAAGGAATTTCAGGTGAAGATTATAATCTTCTTTGCTTCCCTTTGGCTTCCAAGCTCAGGTCTTGCAGTAAGCCGCGCGCGCAGGTGGACGATTGTGATAAGTAAGAACGTCTTTCAGTGCGTGCACACAGTGGCCATTGTGCGGCACAAGGAGGGCCTACCGACTGGTTAATGTATCCCTTTGACGTTTATCATTCGTGTGTGGGGGATTTGTTTTCAAATTAGAAAGTGCAATTACAACAGTTCAACAAAGTTAATAAGTGATGCTCAATTTACTAGAGAGTACGTCCCGTGCATTGCAAGTTGGCAAACCAATAACAGCTAATGTTGACGTTTTATTCCTCTAGCGTTAATGTACGAGATTTAATTTATAAAAAAAAACATGGGTTAACATTTATTCTGTGATTTTTTTTTATATATTTGTTTGAAAATGTGAACATTTAATTCCAGTGTGGAGAAAACACGGCCGACGAGTCGTTACCGATATCTTCCAGCAGAGGGTAGCGCTGAGCCTCCGTCTCTCCACTCATCTCAACTCAGCTGATCACTTTATAACCAAACGTGTATATTCCAAACGCAAGTTGAGCTGCGTACTCAATGAGCGGAGAGCGGAGCGCTGCGACGTACCCGACCAAATATGTAACGCCGTTGGTGCGAGGCCAGTGTTTGCGAGTCGTGTGGGCTGAAATGGCGTATGTGTCTTGTCGAGTCGGCCTTCGCTCGAAACGGTGCGCTAATTTCACGTCACGGGGCGAAGTGACGGGAAATAAAACGACGCCAGCGAAATACAATCTTTTATGATGGCACCGGGTCCAATTTCAAGGTCGAATTTAATATTTACGAGGTGTTCGTTTGCGCACTGTAATCCCCGGAGCCGTGCTGGAATATTGTACGGGGCCTCATTTGAAATTATTTGACATATCCCCGAGCTATTGTCTTTGTTGAATTGCCTTGCAATATTAATGTGAGCTTTAACACCCAAGATTACCATGAAGGAATTAAATTAATGAGCAGGGCTTTTATAGTTAGCGTCACTAACCTGCGGGTCTTAATTAAAGCTGATGAAAAGAAGAGGCAATAACTAAATCGAGGGGCCTTGAGGGGCTTAGGTTATATCGGTAACGTTTGCTTTCGATAAATGTTGGAATAGCCCCCCCCCCTCCCGCCGCAGCAGCACGTGTTTAGATAACCCTGCTCTGCGCATACCGTTGCCGAATTAGCGTTTGCTTTAAGCGCCTCGGGAAGAACATGTCCAATCGGATTTGTTTCCTTAATCTCTACATTAAAAGGCTGTTTTTGGTTCCTGGGCAGGAGACAGGGTTTGTCGACGTTAAAACTGGTCAGTCCAGAAAGTGTTCAGGCCATGTGTGTGTGTGTGTACGTGCAGTTGAGTTTAGATACCGCGTGCTGAGAAGCACCACCACGTAGTAAAGTTAGTTGTTCAAATAAGGATTTCGGATCTGTTGTGAACATTGCTCCGGAAATGTTGCTTCGGCAATGGTTTAAATGTAATGGATGTGTCTCTCTAAGCCGCGTTGCTTTAATAAATTGAACATGCAGATGTGTTATGGTAAGTTACATGTTAAAATAAAGCGCAATGTTTGTATAATTACACAGCCGTCGTGTTTATACATACGTGTATACATTACATGTGTTGTACATTTGTATCATAATTTTAAGTGAGTAAAGGAATCAAGCAATTGTTAAAATGAACGTGAATGTTTTGTATTTCGAAAAAATAAGCGTCTCACTTTTACATTTGTGTTTATTAGTATTTACGAAAAGAGAAATATATACTAAAATGGTATTGTGTTGTGGAAAACTAATACAACAAAGCAATATCGTAAATATAGACACATTTGTCGAGAGAATTACATTTAATTTAGATTGAAACTTTAATATTCCCTTAATGTTCTAAGTTCATACTTTTTTATTGTTTACTCTTACAAAAACGTCTAAAACGCAACATTTCTGCTCAGATCGTAGTTTAAATGAAAAGTTTAAATAAAGACTTCTTCTCAAAGTAATGCATTTTCAATTAAATGTTGACATAATTGCATTTTATATTTTAAGTGAAATGAGACGTACAAAATTACCAAAGTAAGGTATATAATTGTTCGCTTATTCGGTTACTTAAGCATATTCTCATTTTTGTATATTAAATGAAAGTATGCATCTAATAATCAGTCAATGGGGAATGCTTAACTATACTATTTGCATCAAATTAATTTCATGTAGAAAAAAGTCATACATACATTGCCAGGGAATGTGGAGGCCTTTTTTGGCCAGTAGTGTTTGACGCATGTTTCTAAATCACGTCGGTTTACTAGCATGCTTTTATTAAAATTTGTTCAAAAACACCAACTCATGATCCAAAAAGTAATACAATACAATGCATGTGCACACATTTTAAAATAAACATTTACGAAAAATTGTTGTGACTTTCTGACCTGCCCCTACTTGAACATCTGTGGGGGAAAAAGCTTTATAGCTCAACGGATTCCTCCAGTTTCGATTTAAAGCTTTCGTGACTGCAGGGATTCATCTTCTTGGTTCTTTCGGTAAAGTCACGTAGAATGGAAATAATAAAAAATAAAACAATAAAAAACGTCGTGAGAATTAGAATGGAAATAATAAAAATAAAACAATAAAATACGTGAGAATTATTTTATTGCTTTATTTTTATTGTTTTATATTTTCCATTCTACGTGACTTTACCCGAAAGAACCAAGAAGAGGGATTCCTCCAGTATAAGTAAAAATTCTTGAGCGTGCCCGGGAGCAGTCCCCGTCACCCTGGCTTCCCTCGCCCGGCCTTGCCCGGCGGAGATGCAGACAGCAAGGTCGGGGGCACGGCCACCCCCGCGGTGACAGACGACCTGGACCGCGGGCTTTTTTCACGTCAGCCAATCTTCCTCACTCGCTTGTAAATCTGATAAGTGGGCCGTGCGCATCGGCGTGCGATGATTGACGTGGAGGGGGCAGAGCGGGTCCCGAACGCGAGGGCCTTCGGTCGCGGCGCACATGCGGCGGTGCAGTCGCTTCTGCCGACTTCGTGGTAGTGATTTTTTGGAAAACACGCGGCACCAACTTTTAGCTCGTCAATCGATGGAGGTTCGCGAATGTTTACCGAGTCACACGCTGGTAGCTCATCGATTCCTCCCATGTCGACGACGCGGATCTACCGGAATATTTCGTCTTGTCCGTACCATGTTCATCCACCATCCCGCGTGCATTTTCTGTTTCTTACTTCGCTCAACCGCCCGTTGTTCTTTAGTTCTTGTAACCTTGCTCAAATTTAAGAAAAGTTTAAACTCTTACCTGTTGCAAGTTTAATAGCGCTGTAGTTGTCCCACCTGATGACGATTGCTTGTGTTGCGATCGAAACTTCGTGATCTATTATTTTTCTACCTACGTGACTTTACCGAAAGAACCAAAGAGTATGGATTCCTGCAGTCACGAAAGCTTCAAATCAAGATTTAATAGCGCTGTTTGGGGTTTTTGGGCCCTCGGTCCCGTGCTCAAACAAACCGTGAATAAAATAAGTGTATTGCGTACGAGCATCAACTTGGAGTTGTGAAGGATGCCCCGAGTTAGAGACGCCTTTTGTTAATGTCCCGTTCCCTTAACGTCAGCGGCCTATCGTGTCAATTGGGTCCATTTCACAGGGAGGCGCGCGCGCTTCGGAGTAAGTTACGCAACTTGTGGTGGTAGGTCTGTCACGTGTTGCCCATCAGTTACGCGCAGAGACCAGTGTTGTAATCTTCATTTTGTCTGTGCATCTCGTAAATGATGTGTCAATCCACTGCTGGATGAACGCCTTTCCACGCCCTGCGTCGGTCATCGGTGTTGTTTGACTATACTGTGCTCAACGCTGGTCAGTGAAAGGTTCAAACGATCGGAGGAACACGTGGTAGTCACAAAGAGCGATTCAAACGTCACCCACTTCGTTTTCTATGTATGTTGAACTTCTTTCGCACGGTACGTAACCAATCGTGCTAATCGGAGATGCGTGGGAAGTTCGCCCTGGCCGGGAATCGAACTCAGTTCACCAGGGTTACTAACTACCGCATGACAGCTGCCCTAATATCAATTATAAAATATTAAACTCACTACATTTGTCATTGTCACTGCTTGAGAACAAAGCATGTATTCATTCTTCAGAATCGTTGCCCGAAACGTTGGTCTTTATTTCTGTTATAAGGCAGTGTTCGTGACGCATGCGGTGCGATATGTATATACATATATATGTGATTGCTCGCACCAATCTCAATTAACACGTAGGCTATCGCCACCAATATTATTCATGGCAGATTGTTTTTCTCCATAGGGTTAGATCGCGAAAATACAAATAAGAAAGTAATCAATTGTTTTTTGAATATATATACGTGCTGACTTTTGTAAAGTTTCAGCGTCTGAACTTGCCGTTGTTACCGAGTGTTTCAACATGACACGCAGTACAACGAGACAAAGTGGTGTGGGGGGGAGGGGATTGGGGTTGGTGTTGAGTGTCATTTTAATAAAGGTCGCCCCGAACAGCACTGCGTGCCCATTGCGAAACATCGCGCCCTTATGAGACGCCGCACAAATCTCAGTGACGCAAACGGATCCAGCGCCGTTTGCGCTCAAAGCAATCTGTGCCTCTCTCTCTCTCTCCCTTCCCTTCCTTCCTCTACCTCGCATTTTAAACCTCGATCAAGGAGAACGGAACGTTGACAAAGCCCAATGCCTCTGACGATACGCTTCTCCCCCACAACACCGTGCGTCACTTCTGCAAACAAAATTCGTCTGTCCCGTGAGTAGCTTCTAGAGAAATGCGAGCGATGTAATTCGCAGTACTTTGTGTAGCATTTGCAACAGCGCGATAATTTTTTTTTATAATTACAAAACAGTAACAACGAGAACAAAGTGAAATAAGAAATGTCTTTGATGCTCGCTACTCCACACAGTTACTCTTGCAAGCCTGGCTATCGATCGATCACCAACTTATACAGAAATACGAGCGGTAGCATCCCCAGCACTTTTTGTGCCAGTACACGCGCGCCGCCCATGGTAACTGCATGCATTCACCCTGCCTTACCGAACGATATGATACTACATCTCTTTGTACCGCTGCATCTTTTGTGTTCAGAACTATGTTTCTCTCCGGGACAAAAGGTGCACGCACACAATGAACGCGCGTGTGTGTGTATTTAAGATTCCGCTCTGCACATGAAAGCCGACGCGAATGGTTAATGCCAGAACAGGGGCGTCAAGAGCAGAACCAGCACGCGATTTGGGAATTTTCAGCGTTATCCCCTCCTACTGGTGTGGTTATTTTTGTCCTGCAAGCACTGTGGTTTCTTACCACACTCGTTAATGGAGTTGGACCAACGTTCCAATTGCAGTACCAACGTCATTGTGTTTAAGCCACCAATCAACAACCTTAGATCTCTTCTTCCCCGTGGTCTGGAACTCCATTCTGCAAGCCGTGCTGTCGACTCCCTGCCATTCTTCAAATCCACGCTTGAGATCTTCCTCCATATCATTTGCCTCCACCTCTCTCGCGACAAACACGAACATGCCCGCTCTTGTTGTTTAGGCGACTTCAGATGCGGTCGCATTTAGGCGCTACACAGATCCGCATTGTATCGTAAGATTGTGCGCGGCTTTCCTATGCAAAGGACAACACGTAGTACAAGTACGTGTGTTACCACCATATTCTCCAGAATACGAGACGCACTTTTACCCCCTGTACTTCAAAGCAAACGTTTGGAGGTGCTTCTTATTATCCGGTAGGCGTCTGTGCGTGTGTGCGCGTGTGCGTGGGGAGCGGTGGCGTAACGGTTAGCGCGCTGCGCTGCGAACCCGGCGATCCGAGTTTGATTCCCGCTCACGGCCAACACCAATGACGATTGTCTGAACCGGTCCTGGGCCTCCCCTAGGTCGACTCAGCCTCAAATGGTTACCTGGTGCGGTGTGTATAAACATCGCCACTGGGGAGACAAAGGCGGTCGGGCGTGGTGCTGGCCACCCACCCCCTCGTGCGCCGTTCCGGCCTTCAGAGGTGCTCGCTAAGAGCATTTGCCCCAACAGTATATTTAGTCTATACGGGGGGTCTTTATCTTTATGTCTGTTGGACCAAATGTGAATGACTATTGGCGGAGATTGGCCGGCCAAACGCTTTTGCTGGGTGCGTCTTAACTTCTCAGGGCATCTTCTTGGTTCTTTCGGTAAAGTCACGTAGAAGGGAAATAATAAAATAATAAAAATAAAACATAATAAAATAATTCTCACGACGTTTCGGCCACAACGCAAGCAGCCGTCTTCAGGTGGAGAACAGGTCTGTCTACTTCCCTTCTACGTGACTTTACCGAAAGAACCAAGAAGATGAATCCCTCCAGTCACGAAAGCTTTAAATCGAAATTCTCAGGGCATCTTGTAATCAAGCGAGTACAGCGTTGACCGCGACAGGCCATGTCGTTGCACGCACGCGGGCACGCGTATGGCTGTGGTGAAACAACTCGGTTGGGGCCCTCACTCATCAACGTCGGAAAATGCCTGCGGCCATGTTATAATGGTTGAACTTTGCCAACTGTTAACAAGTGTGAAGTGTTGTGTGTGGGGGGCGGGCGGGCTGGGTGGTTGGTGGGGGGGGGGGTGAAGAGAGTAGGGGGGGGGGCATCGTCACTAAGCCGATTTGCTTGAATTAAGTGACGACGGTTCAATTCCTGTGTCGCCGTCTCGCAACTTACCAAAGCGCCCGCCGGTCCATTGTGACAACGGACGTTAAAGACTTCCTGCCGTCAGATCGTCAGAACGACGCACTTTGCCGTACCGACTCTGAACCTCGTTGGCAATTGCATTGTTCATGCATGAACGTATTGTCATTTTACATGTGTTTGTATATAAATAGTGTAAGGCCCTTTGGGGCCGTCCATAAATGACGTCACGCACCTAGGGCGGGGGGGGGGAGTCAGACATTTGTGACGATGTGTGACGAGGGGGGGGGGGTGTTTGAGAAATGTGACGTCACATCAAAATTCGCAACTTTAAATAAATATAGACAACACGTTCTACTTAATTAAATAGACTTTTAATAAATGTTTTCTCCTACAACATCCGAGTGCAGCGCCACATTAAATGCGCACTACAATGACAATAGTTTAACGCGATTTGAAGCAAGTTTTTTTGTTCTTTTTTGGGGGGGGGGGGGGGGTAGAGCTTTATGACGTCATATTTGAGGGGGGGTCTGACTTTTTGTGACGCCGTGTGACGAAGGGGGGGGGGGGGGGGTCAAAAATCGTCCAAAATTGCGTGACGTCATTTATGGACGGCCCCTTAGTCGACAACAACGGGGGAGTTATTTGACCATACTTCGCCCCGCTAGTCAGCGTGACGCGTGGAAGAGTCCTCCTTCCAGCAGTTGATGGAAATTCATTG